ATGTTATCATAAGCTTTACATCGATTGTAACCCAATATCTGAGTACAATATTTCAATAGATAATTATCGTTTTTTATTCGGAAAAGAAATAATAATATAATAATTTTAAAAAAAGTTGTTAAGTATAATATGTAAATTAAGTGATATAGTTTTAGTACCAATAAGCTAGTATAAATTTGAAAACGTTGATTGAATAATTAGGGAAAATAATAAAAAATGTATTCTTGCCCTTTTTCTACATCATTGGTCGTACTGCCGTGATAGCCTTTAAAGTTTAAAATTGTTTTGTTAAATTATTGTGCTTTGATTGACGCTATCTTTGATACACTTCACATTATTAATAAATATATATTTTTAAATGATTTAATATTATTCAAACTACTAATGGTGTTCCTCGTACTGATGATCATTATACGCAAGTTTGTTTTGATAATAGTGAAATATGAAACATTCTTCCATTTAGAAGTATTTTGAATCTCAGTACCTACCTATGAGACTACCTTAAATAATACGAAACTGTATAACCTATATATATAGGTAATGGTATACGTAAGTACCTGTTAAAATAATGATATATTATTACAGTGCAATAAATGATAATAATAATAATATATTTTATTGATACTTAATTAGCGTGACATTTGGCAAGTCGCAAAAATAAATAAATCGGAAAGAGTAAAAGCATACATTTTCGTATAAATCAAAACAAACGGTTTTTGTAAGAATAACAAACAATTTTCAACAAAGTCCGTTTTTTTTTTTTTATTACAAGTGAATGCCGAGTATTTCTAATTAAAAATACAAAATGTTTGCATAGACAATAGGAGGTTTTTTTTGTTATTTTTTATTATTATTATTATTATTTACGGTATTTATTTAAAAACAATGAGACTCAAACTTCACTAACGTTCGTCCCAGCAATCGGTCACAATATTCGTTATTCCGCTTTTTTCGTCGCCGACGATGACATATGCTTTACAGTGTACATATAGGTTTGTTTACAATATGTCGTATACAATAATATTATGTTTGCAAGTACTCTGTGTTTACGACAAAGATATATTTACAAACGTGCAGACTGCAGACCTACAGCGAAAAGGGTTTTTTATCCTCCGCCTTACTATTAAAAACGCAGAAAAGCATTGGTGGACGGACGACTAATATATTATACAATGTATATTATGTATATTATACATCGTATATACAGTATATATATATATATATATATATATATAGGACATAGGTATATATGCATATAGTGGTACGTATGTGGAGTTGAGGTTGGTAGACGCTATTCCCTCACAAAAATTAAAAAATCTCTTATATTTATAAACACAGGCAGAACCTGTTAACCCAAGTGTTTGTGATTTTAAATTTTGCCTTATGTTCGCAATATTATAGTCAAGATGAATTACATTTTTTTTTATTTTTATTTCATTTTTATTGAGACTAAACCTCAGCAGCTGGGGCCATTAGATGGTGCTAAATTAAATTATTTTTTACATTCTTTGTTTTTTTTTTTTGTAAAAATATACAAACTAATTGCTCAAGTAATAAAGTATTGTTCGTTTAATAGTGTCTTCGGCAAGTAAACCATGTAGAAGCTGGATGTATTGAATTTTCGTCTTGCATCTGAAATAAATAAACTCATGACTGTAGTTTAAAATACATGGTCTATGTGTAAATCAGACATTACAGATAATAATATAGAAACAACTAGAAAAGTTTTATAAATACATTGTAGTGCATTTTTGACTGCGTACTCGATTTCTTATACATATAATAGAACGTTTGATTTTATGAGAACTTTAGAAGTTTGCAATTCGTGTTATCGATGCGACGACCACTGGATAATTTTTTATAGTATCTTATGACCAGAGCTGAGAATTTAATGATATTGCACATCGATAAATTTCATTCTGAATATTAAATAATTGAGATACAAATTCAATTCAAAGCATAACCATTTAAGGACAACTACATTTTGTTTGCATGATTATTTTAGTTGCTATAAATGCGTATAATTTTTTTTATATTTCTATTGCTGAAAGAATTACGGATTTATAATATAATAATTTAAAATAATTTATTAAATAATAATAATATATTTTTCATTATATTTACATTCGCTAATATATACTTAAAACATTTTACATGTATTATGTTGTAGTCATCAGTATCCTTCAAACGATAATCATAATTATGAATTTATTTTACAAGATTGCCTACATTTTGAAATTTTTAATTCAGATTTCCTTGCGGTTATAAGAAATGTATGTGTGCTTAAATAATATGCATAATATTTCATAGATTTCAGTTCATAAATATATTATATTATTCAGTCCTGCCAACGACGTATGAAGTGTGTTTTTTCCAATTTTTTTAATAGTTTTATGATCATACGGCGTTATGGTTAGGTGATTTAGGTACATGATCATGGTAAATTTTTTCGGTATTTCATAAAAATGTCACGGGCAAGGAATAGTCTCGTAAGTGGCCTATTTTCTATGTCTGAAAATATTTATTTATATAATTATCGAATAAACGATATGCGGCCAGGTGTAAGTATTGTGACAAACAGTTCCCGCCCGTCTCTAAGGGAAAAAAGGAACGTGTCTGCACGATTAGTAAACAATCTCTTTGAATGTTTCTTATAAATTCTTATACCTATTTGTTTCTATATGTATAATAATATGACTATAATTCATTGTTGACGTATTACTGAAAACTACAGCAGTGCATTATACATATTATATACAGATATGAGATAATTTTCCCACAATTATTAGTGTACAATACTTTATTGATTATTTTTTTCTAGTAAAAACATTATACTATTATATAATAAAATCATGTTTTATTATTTTTGCATACAACAAGTTACACAAAATAAAAGAGTTCATATAGGTAGTTCAATATTGTTAGAATTCTGAACCCTATATTTCGGCGAAACCCAAAAAGTGTGTAGTCCATAATTGGAAGTGTGCAGTACGATTTGGAGAACTGTCTACTCTGAATTGTGTACTAAGGCCAAGTATACAAAATGATTAGTTCCAATAAAGTATATTCACTTACCTTTAAAATAAAAAAATTAACAAAAAATCGGGTATTGGTAAACTTTTTTTTATTTTATGCATATTATATTTTCTAAGTATATAAATAAAATTGAAGTTACTGTCAAACTGTGATTTGATAAAAAAATAAAAGTTTTTATTACTTAACAAATGTTGTGCAACCTGTTTAAAACATTAGGATTTGGAGGTGGATATATGAGTGGGAAAAAGATTCTATAACAGGTGAGTGGAGGCGAAGGAAAAAAAGAGAGATACGATCACTAAAGAAAAGAAAAGAATATTTTAGAGCCTATCAAAGAAAAGAAACTGTGCTGGGCAAAGAGAAGAAGAAACTCGCTACTAATAGAGTACCTACAATTAGAATAGAACCGGGTGATGAAAACCCTTTGATAAGAACAACAATGAGGTGTCGTAATACAGTAAAAAAAATTCGGGAGAGTATTAAGATGTTAATCAAGTTAGATTCTTTTGGCGCTGTATAGATATGGACGATATGGTTGGAGTGTTGGGGTTAAGCTGTGACAAGAGTGCAGAATTTAGTAAATCCCCCCCTCAAAAAAAAAAAATTAAAATAATTAGTTGATGGGATACATGCCTGTATAATATCTCATGGTAGAATAAATTGAGAAGTACACATTTTTATAAAAAAAGAAAACCTAGGAGCTTGGCCTCTTCAATTTTCCATAGATATTGATTTATGATTATGGGTCGTGTCGTCCTCATGTATGTCACTAAATATGTAAAAATCACATTCACTCTAATATAATAATTATATAACTTTCAATATTATTGTAGGTATTATTCTTAAAATTTGACCAACGTGAATACTTTACAATAAGGCTTAAATGGATTGCGCCTCGTGTGATGGAGTCATGGCGTATTCATCATTATTTCTAAACCAGATCACCCTCAAGCGAAACCCTGGAATCTGGGTATACACATGGGACGATGGTTAAAAACAATTCACAACTACACAATTAAAAATAACGATGTACCTACGCGCTTATTGGAATATAAACATATTGTATGTTTAATGTTTATTTGTTTTCGTTTCTATATTTTAATATTATATATGTTTATATCGATTCAATATAAAATCAATATGACGTACATAATGATATTAGTATATATATAAATATATCTATGGTTTTGATTTTTAACATTTACCCTATAATAATAATATGTAACTACTTGTCCATACAATTTGATTGGTACAGAAACCTTGTTTTAGTTTATTATTAAACCGTAATAGAAAGTTGAAACCAAAAACTAAAAAGTATAATAAAGGTATAATAATATTATTATGTAGGTGACATTTTCATAATCCAAATATTTTCTATTTAATTGCACCTTATCCACGGATCTATTCGAAACGTACTAATAGTATGAAAACACAAATAGCAAACATTATTTTATGAAGCGAGAGAGTGAAATATCGTGACAGTGGATGGTGAGGATGGATGGGGTGGAATAGAATCCCACATTCCCATTCACCACCCCAAAAACTGTTTGTAGCGGGTCGTACACAAAAACATGACATATTATTATAATAGCTGATGGAAATCGCAAGACACACATACACAAACCCACACACACACTCACTCACTCATACAATAGTAATAATAATGTAATATGATGACGACGATATTACAGCGTAAGCACTCGCAGGGCATCGTCACCTGCAGCACCCGAAGAAAACAAAACGCCCCGCGGGAAACAATATAATATTATATAATACATAAATAACGAGAGAGAATAAAAAAAAAAAAATACGAATCGTTTCGATCCCTCGCTGCTGGTTCGCTCCGCCACCCGTCGTCACATTCACATCCGACTCGTCGATGCCTTCGCGACGAAAACGCCACCGCGACTCATATATAATATGTAAGTACATCTGCTGCTGCCTGTACCTATATATGTTATAACATGTATTTAGTCTACATGCCATGTGTACACACGTACATAATGTGCGTTACTGGTATATTATGCGTGCGAGACCGAAATCGTATCGTATTTCTAGGGTGTTCCGGTGTGCCGCCCATCCAACTCCGCCGACCGCTGGCAGGGACAGATGTTGCCAGGTTCCATCGTCGAAACGGCTATATAGTGTTATATGTGCCGAGGCGCCTCGACATCCGATTCTGTTGCAGCCGACCAGACTCGATTGTCCGAGCCGAGCTGCACATCGCCGTCGACGATATACAGGAAACCGACACTTGTTCAGGTATAAGATGTCCTCGGTCGGCGTCTAGTTGATCTTATATTATATATATATATATTATACATGTACGGAGTGTCCACAAGTACACTCTATTGCCCGGTTATTTATAATATTGTTCAGTACCCTTCGGGGACCGAACCTAAAAGAACCGGTCCTGGAACCGGAGCCTTTAAAATAATAAAGCCTTTATTTTAATAAATTAAGTATCGGAACCGAACAGGAATTTTTAAATTGAAAAGGTACTTTTAGGTTCAAAAATAAAATAACTTTATTCATCCCAATTTAAAGACAATATTACTGTTGTGTGTATAATCTATGTATGTTCATATTATGAGTTTTCTAATATTTCTCATACTATTAATTAAACCCGCATTCCGGATAGGTATTTAAAATTATAATACTTTTCGGTACCGAAATTATGTGGAACCGGTACCTTTATTTTTTTCATCAAAGAACCAGAACCGAACCGGAATAGTTATTTTATTTTTGGAGAAAAGATATCGATAAATTCAAAAGGTTCCAGTCCCTTAGATATTATTAAATTATTATGCTTGGAGGAAATGAGACTAATAATACTATTGGATCATAAGTTACAATGACTTACAATTGCTTAACTCTTGTATTTTGCTTATGCCCGACAACTTCACATTTTCTGTGTACCTTGTGTTCGTGAATATCTCAAAGTATAATATAATTTTATTTTAGGGAACTATATTTCTCCCGGAGTAACTATAGTGATGCACGCCGTTGTCTGTCGTACGGATTAATTTTGACTGCCTTTTGAAACTGTCAGTTTCCATTATAGTTACTTCTTCACATCATAATAATAATATTATGTACCTATGTTCAATTTATAGTAAATTTGTTTTCATTTTTTTATTTTAATTTATCTTGAGACTGATTCAGTATTCTGATATTCTTATATAATATTATACAATCGATTACCATCAAAATATAACAAAAACACCAACAGATGTGCATTTACCAAGCTATTTCAGTATAATTAATAGTTGGACTAAACACCCCACACAGATAGTTCATCGAACTGCGCAGACGTGGAATGACACGAGCTCGTCTTTTTCCTCTGTTTTATAATGCACATAATATTTACAACGTGTCTACTACGGTTTACATCAAATCCGACTCTTTTATAATATTTTATACCGTGGTTTAATACGTAGAACATGCTGTTGTAGACTACTTGGAAGTATAATACATACCATTAATTATATTTTAAGAAAAATCACTGTAAGTTATGTCAATTATAAAATATAATTCACAGATTCGAGCTTAGAAAATAAAACACATTTATGTTGGGATGTAGGCGAAAATGTTATATTAGTCGTGATTGAAGTCGATTTACAAACTTGACTATACGTCGGATGGTTATCATGTACAGTATCGTTTACACGCTAATATAACATTCATATATATTCTAATCGACGTCATACAGCATCGATTGCTATCGTAGGTGATCGAAAATAAGTAATCGCCGAGAAAAACGCGACTGTTTGACAATCAATTTTTAAGTACGAAACGAACAAACGACCGACGACAGTCTGATCGATCTGCGAGCCAATGAAATACGACGTCTCAGATTTTCACCGATATGGAAAACGCGACGAGATCGGTTTGCTTACGGTGCAATTTCGTATCGCCGAACGCGATCGCAGAATCGAATGTATCCGGTAATCATCGGTTTTGCTTTCGCAGCCGGCCTATCTATGATCGAGATGTGGCAAAGTCGTCGCAGGTTAAAAGCCTGTATGGCACCTTAAAGCCAAATATTTCAGTTTTTACTCGGATGGTTCGTCGATTGGTCTTTTCTTTGTGGTATGGTCGAACTGCATTCGGCGAAAAAACCGCTGTTTGATGGGACTGAGATCGATTTCAGTTATCGGCGTGGTAAAAAATTAGTTTTTTGTATACGATCTGCATGGTAATGATTTTGACATTTTTTGGAAAGCGTTTTTTGAATGTAACCCAAGGAAAACCTGCACATATTGACTACCTACTTTTCGAACACATATCTTACGTCGTATATGAGTCTGTCGAATTCATCATCGACATAGGTGATAATTATTTATAACTCAAATTGAGCTGTACGACCGAGATGTGCGAAAGCGAGTGCAGAGTGAGCGGTCTGGGTGGCGAGTTAGCGGTAGACGGCACGTAAATTGATTTTTGCAATTAATTTAACACCGCGCCGGTTTCCTCGGTAATTACCTATACGTTGCGCGCCAAATCCGATGACCGCCGCCTCTGCGTCTATCGGGGCGGCCGTCGAGCTTCTGCGGAGAAAAAAAAATACGTGCGGGGGAGTCGAGTACGCTTGCCGAGGGGGGTGGGGTGGGGAATATATAACTATAAATTACTGTTCATGGAAGTTTCCGCACCACGTTCGATAACGCTGCGCAGCACCAGACCAGAACAGTGTACCTCTATATACACGTTATAATGAACGTGTGTGATGTATAGTCGTGTATTATTATTATTATTATGTTGTACACACACCGTGTACTGGATGGATTGTATTTTATTATTATTATTTTTATATTTTACAACGTGCGTGTGGACCAATTATTCGTCGTATACTTATATATATATACACACACACACACACACACACACACACACACACACACACACACACACACACACACACACACACACACACGCGCGCGCAGACACACGCTTCATGGCTGGCGTGCAAATCGCCCGGGGTGATACTGGTCGGTGAACGTTGTTTATGACCGGTGTTATAAGAAATATAATTAAACGATTTCTCGATATTCGTTACCGACGACAAGGAACGGGCCGTGACAAAAAAAAAAAAAAATCAAAACAAAATAAAACTTAACGAAACAATAATGATGTCGTTCGATAAAAACCGTGTGTGGCGATTGGATTCTCACGATATGCGTATGCCGGACAAAGCGATAGCACACACACACACACACTCACAAGCGTGCGATGAGGACATGGAATTTAATATAATATTATTATAGGTAGGTACACCTATAATAAATTAATATCCCTCGAGATCAATCGGACCTAAAAAATTGGTAGAAAAATAAATTACCAAGGCTTTTTGAAGTTATACTCTCGTCAAAATAACGATAGTATATTCTATATAACACCCACATTGATGACAACAATATGAATAATAATGTACAAACATCACGACCATTTTCCAAGTATAGGTATTGACTTTCAAAATTAAAAAGCATTTGAAAGCATATTGATGTTTGTAATTTTGAGTTGCTGATTTATTATGACTTATGGGGCTAAAGTTCTCCTAATTACAACCCCCCCGCCACGCTCCCACACGATATTTCCTCAGAAAGAGGATTCTAGCTATAATATAATATTGTTGGACCCATCGATTCTCAAAATATAACAACATATTCCAGTTAGTTTTAAAATAAAATATCGACCCCTCCTCCTACCAGCTTTTCCTGAGATCGTTATTGTTACTCCTAAATTATATTTGTTAATTTAAATATAAATCCACATCAGACTTAATTTATTATTTCACACAAAATAATACTACAATAAATTATTAACATAATATATTAATTATTAATATGCATTATATAGGTACACGTTGTAAGCAACTAATGGTGGAATATCAATCGTATGAGTTTATATTTTTTAAATAATAATTATTTATAGTAATTATTACTCAAACTCAAGTACCTAAGGTTCATTAAAAATGTACATATTATAAACAAACTATAAAACCTAATTATTATATTATACACGTTTAGAGCAATTTCATAGTAAGTTTATTAAAAACAATATTACTAATATAAATATATTGTTATATATAGGTACTATAATATTATTAATATACAAAACAATAAATCAGGAAAATAAATATTAAAATTAAAATGTAATAATCAATAAATTATTATGGAAAATTATGATTTGTAAACTTTATTTATCACGTTCGTCGTTCACATTATCCATTTACTTTGCTGGTTGAATTAGTTGGCCGACTAGTATGAAAAACAGTACAACACGCTCGAGTTACTAAGACTTACGACGACTTAAAATTTTCGGACTCGAATAAGTAGTGTTGCATCATGCATAATATATAAAAAATATTGCAGTTAAAACTATTAACTAGGTTAAGTATACTATAATATAGAAGGTAAAATTCCAAAACAAATCATACAATATTCAAAAAGCTATGGTTAACAACGTAGAAAAATGCATTACAAATTAGGTTAAAATAACAATTATGTAATGAAATTACAATTTAGTATAATTTTAAGCATAGTCATTAAGTAAAATGTCAACAGGTTGGGCCAACCTCCAATTTCCCACCAAGTCCAGAGGACATAATATGACCGACTCACAGGGCAGGATTGCCATCTAGCCATAGTCACGAGGACAATAACCGTGTCCTCGTGAGTAGGTCAAGGATTGAAGGAATTACTGTCCCCGTGAATAGGTCTCGGAACAACAGTCCAAATGGCCAGTCTGCAGACTGGGGACACGGTCTATTTTTTTCCCGACTTTAGTTTTATAATTCGAAGACTCACGGGGACACGATGTGGCCGACCATCGTGCTGCCACCATGGTGTACTTAGAAAAAATTAAATCGATGACCTACTCACGGGGGCAAAATCGGGGAAGTCGCAGATCGAAGGCGAGTAGTATTGGTTTTCTTCGCTTGTATTGGGTTGACTTTCACGTAGCAGAGCCATCGGGAAATAATGATTGCTCATTCGATGTCGTTCACTGCCCCCGTCGACATGGCTGACAAGTCGGTGCTTAGTAGTACGGCAACTCACAGGCCTAGGGGGAGTTCACGGATGGCCGTGGTTTCGCTGGATTTCATGTAAGTACGGCAAATAACTTGGCCACGGAATCCGGAGGATAGAGACCTCCTGATTTCAACCCCGAACTAGCTACTGGAGAAAATACGTTTAAACGGTTGAGTCCTAAAATTCCCGAACCGTGTCCCCGTGAGGTTTTCGATCTTTATCGGAAGTCAACTTTTCGGGCTTTCAACCGATGGCTTCGAAACTTTCAAAACTGATAAAAAAATAAATCGATAGTGCTTCGATAGTAAAATTTATATATGTATAAGTAATATGTGAAGACAAAAAGAGGGTCAGTGGGTAGTGATCGTGTGACTCGATCGCCACTGGGCGTCAACGTTTTAATACATGTGCTTATGATAATTAATTAATTCGTTTATTTGTGTACGTCTGTGATCACACCAAGCCATAGTAATAACTGATTATCCTGTGTGATGAACACTGGCGGAACCGTCTTAAATATTTTCACGAAAAAAATTGGCCTGCAAAATCGATAAAAATCATAATAATAATATTGTCATCCGAGCCACAGGCACACGGCCGAATGCTAAATCGACCGCCTGTATTATAATATTGGACTGGCAATTTTTTCGGTTCAAAAACACAGTAACTAAACCTTGAGTAACTTAAAATTACAACTTATAATTGGTGAGATCGAACATCAGCTGCTGCGCTGAAGTCCTTTGTAGTCAAATGGATACTGGCGGAATCGATGTAACCTCTCCCATATAGGCAGTTAAAAATGGTCTGGCGATGCAATCTCATATCATTATCTGAACCTTAGGCACGCGGCATGTTGCCGAACCGACCGCTTACCTATTCTTATATAATACCATTGACTATAAATACCGTATTTATATCGATGATAATGCGTATAATATAATGCGTATACAACGCACTCGTTTGCCCAGGAGGAACGCGACGACGACGACGACGACGACGATACACAGAAATGTCTTCGGCCTGGCAACGATTATAGTTTTTTAATACTCTGTAATTACGGGCGGCGCGTACCCATTCACGAAACGGAAAAATCACGATAAACGTGTGCCAATATAATAATAATAATATGACCGTGTAGTCTGTATAAGCACCCGTTGCACCACGTGTATAATAATGTATAGACCATAATATGGTTACCAAGTGCACCTGCCCGACCGGCTACTTACCTATGTATATATATAATAGCTACCTCCAATTTACAATACCTATATTATTGTCGTGCATATATAGGAAGGCGCGGTTAACTGTGTATTATATTATTATTATATATTATTATATTGTTATTATAATATACGTATTATAGTGTTGTATTATAGAACTTCTGATGGTGGGGAGTTATTATTATAATATTATACCTATCGAATATAGGTACGCAGACACATACCGCCGAGGGACTGCGGAGTAAGTACGCGCAACGTTAAGTCCGGGCGGCGAACAAAGGAACGGCGACGCCGCCGCCGATTATGTACCGGAGCTTATAATGTACAGAAACAATATAAAGGGGACAGCGTGTGCGTGTCGACGGGACATATTGCGATCTGGAATATTAATATAACGAGAGACGTAAACAGAGAGAGAGAGAGAGAGAAAACGGTACGGTCGTATATAATATTTATATTTATATAATAGTACTTATATAATATTATATTGTAATGCGATGTGGCCGTGGTATTTGTGTGCGATGGTTGCTGCAACGGAGCGTAAATTCTAACGCGAGCTTCAAACCTATAACTTTACAAACACACACACACACACACACACACACACACACACACACACACACACACACATACGTGTGATGAACGTGGACATGCGAACGCTCCGGGCTAAGGTATCGAGGGTTTTCAGTGAAATCTTTTCACAAAATATAATATTTTTATTTTCACTTTTTTTGTTTTATTGTATATAATATATTATATGCCAGGGGTAACCGACCAGGAGATTAGGTATAGGCACCAAATATAGTACCTAATAGAAAAAAAAAACCATCGTAATTACTTTATAGATTAAATATTGTTTCACTGAAACATAAACTAGT